GACATTCTGCTTTCTCCATAGTTTTGAGTGTGTTTGCAGGCTTCAAACCTTTGTTTAAGGACTACAAGAGATGATAAGAACCGCACGAGTTCACATGTGAAAGGGACGAGAGTCATATTTTCAAAAACTGCCCAAAAGCACAAGGAGTTTTATTAGCTGTAACAGCATAATAAATTATTTCTGTCAGCCTAGCAGCCTCTAGTTACACTTTCACACTGAGTGGCACTACTTTAACCTGTGTTGAACATGAAGATGTACAATAGATGCATTGATGTTGAGCACTTGAAGAAGGGTTTACGTGAGTATTTTTAGACTTCCGTGTGGTTTCTGACATCTATTTGACAAGCACTTAAGACCACAAGATTTATAAAAACATGCTTTAGAGCAATACTACCTATAAATCATTGTAAACTGACTTTACTGGAGACAGAACTGGTTGTCCTATAAATCATTGGTGTTATTAAGAGAACTATGCAAAATATGATCACTTATGTCTTGGAGAGGAGCAACGTGAGTGCCTTGGCTGTATTTGTTCAACCCTCTCAACCTCAAGCTGTGTGTTGCAATCAGATTAACTGAAAAACTAAAAACAAACAGAACAAAATAGATAAAACTGATAGCAATATTTGCCACATGCTGAGGTCAAAGAGGTGTAAATACTGACAGATATTGATGGCTTCATCACTTATGAAACTACTAAACATTATCCATTTAGAGGAGAGATCAACAGGAAAAGCATCAGCTAATGGGGACCACCTGTGGTGTAATCACCACCAAGTGCATGTCCAGCCTGTTCATCTATAAGGCTTCTGTAAAACTGCTTTCTCAGATTAGAGGTCAGAGCTTGAAAATTATGAATTTCAGAGAACAGCTGTGAGCATTCACTGAAGTCATTGACTCTAAGATCTTCAAGGAACCCTAATTTATATGAAGAAGTTGCCATCTAGTTAAGCTAGATACCAGGCACAGCAGATTTTGTTTTACAGTATAGGTGTTTGGACTAAGGTGTGATTACATATGGTTCACATCTGATCAGCAGAAAATAACCTTTTTTGATATTGTGACCATTACCTATGTGTCCCCACCTTCAGTCCTGGATTATATGTGGCATTTTCTGAGGAGGAGAGATAAGGAGCTAGTGCAGAATGCTTACCTGCATGCTAGCTTTGTTTGACTTTCACAAAGTTAATGAGGAGCACTTCTGGCAAATGGGAGATGTCTTGTCTTTCATCCTTGTCAAGAGGAATTTCCCTGCTGGCATTCAGACAGTTAATTCCTGCAATTAGATTTGCATTAACATCTACTCTCTTTTCTATGTTCATTCTTATAGGTAGGTGAAACAAGAAATCTTGATTATTCTTGTTCAACTTTTGAGTTTAAAAATCTTTTTGCCTGGCTGACATTAGGGACACACAACCCTAGGGTGTCACGAGGCTGTTGCACATTTACAGTCTAAGTTGGTCACTGGAATACAACAGCACTGTACAAGCATCATGATGGTGTAAAACAATCTTTGAGCTTTAGACCACAAACACTGCAGTTTCTATTGCTCCTCAGTCCGTCTTGGCATTGCCAAAGTCTCACTGGAAAATCCAGATAGGTTGTCAAAAGGCATCACTGGCACTGGAAAGCATCTCATTGTGCGGGCTGGTCAGGATAAGTGGTCCCAGCCTTCCACATGGAATTTACAGTCATCAGACTGAAACGCAGCAGAAGGGAGCAACCAAAGAGCTTATTTCAGGTTTTTATCACTATCATGATGGTACTGGATCTAGGTCCATGGTCTGCTGTGCTAAACAGCAAATTAAATCTTGGAAAAAATCTTAAATAAAAACAAGCAAACATTTTCTGAGTTTAAAATTTTAATCTGAACTGTTGGCTTGCTGATGACGTTAACTCAGAGATGTTACCTCACAGCAGACCTGTTGCAATTTTGCTGCACACTAGGTGACCGTGGCCAGAGTATTCAGCTGTTTGTTTCCAAACTAGAGCACATCTGCAACTACTTCTTCAGCCTCATAATTTCTGTGGTCTGTGATCTGTCCATAAACCTTCAGGTAGGTGCTGAGCTTATTTTTTCATGAATGTTCATCCTGGGTCTGTGCTGCTATAGTCAGAGCCTGGTCGTGGGTAGCAAAAACTGATAAACTTGGAATTTGCAGACTGCAAACCTTTGACATCCCATATATCCAGCTACATAGGATAGGCTGCATTCTTCCCATAATGCGAAACCGTTTTTAAGATGGGATCAACAATAGATAGTTGCATAGAAGAAAGAAAAATCTCATTAAAAATCAAAGAGAAAGAAGTGTTACAATAATAATTTTACTGGTCATTTATATCTCAGTTTAAAAGAAATAAAAATCAATTTTCCTATTTTCTTTGGTCAAATTCAGTAATGCATTTTCGTAATATATAGAAAAATAGCCTATATTTTGCGAAATTATTGAGAAATTATATTGCAGCTGTTATTCTGAATGAACTTGTTTTATTTCATATGTCATCAACAACAAAAAGGAAAGATTAGTAATCAATCATCTTGATCTGTAATCTCCACTGAACATTTACTCCATGTGAGCCCGAGATGCCTACCCACAAGATACATCCTTCAACATCTCCAAGCTCGTTCAGCTGCAACATGAGCAAGCAGCAGCCTCAGAGCTGCTCTGAGTTAAACTGGCAGTGAGGCATCGTGTTCCAAGAGCTGGAGTCTGCACTGTGAAGGTGCCTCTGAACTGGGCAGGAGGAGCGAGGGGACTGTGGTACTGGACCTTTTTCATCTCCACACAGTGATCTGTGGAAGATGAGGAACAGAAAGACAAAGACCCATTTTGTTACTACCAGCAACGCTACTCTGGCTCCTTTACACACAGTCCCTCTCACTTGTTGTGCCCCATTAGACAAGAGTTAAAACCAGCAATTAAAAATACTAACATTTAATTTTAGAAAGTGGAGGCAGGCTGGAATCATGCAGAGCAGACAGCAGGGTCAACAGCAGGCAGGATCTGTAAATTGACTCTGTCTGGCGTGAGCAAACTTAGGTAACTGCTGATTAGGCAGGTCTTGTGATGTGCCTTTTGTGAAAACAAATTCAAGCTGCTACCTTCCATACACAGCACAGCTGATGATGGGTTGTTACTTAAAGGTCTGGGAAAGCAGCTCTCAGATCCCCAGCTTGTCAGAAAAACCAGCAGGAGGGGGCAGGAATAATGAAAACAAATGTACCCTGAGAACTGGACGGGTACCACTGGAGCAGGAGTCAACAGTGTGATGTGCCCCGGAATGTATGGCAGGAAACTGTGTAAAGTCAAAGCTGACCCAGGACACCAAAAGAGCTTCTGTGTATTCATTACTTGCTGTGCTTGGGTCCTGACAGGGCAAACAGTATCAGTTATGCTTTTCTTCCCCAGTGCAGGATGGCACAGCTTTAAGATGCCTCCTATCCTTGGAGAAAGAGACAGCAAAATTGCACTGACAGGTACAGCTGGTTGGAAGGGGAAGGAAAAGCAGCTGTTGTAGTGATGGCTGTGCTGGGGGAGGTGGTAGTACATTGACAAGTGTCAGCAGCAGCTGGAGCAGAGCTGAGCAGCAGCACAGATTGATGGTGGTGGGAGTTCAATCTATTCCTGTAACCCCTAATGACCACAAAACATTTGCTTTTTTTCAGTATGAAGAAAGTTTTCAGACAGCACTTAATGATTCACTTCCCTTAAAAATGAATAGCAGAAAACATCCTTTAATCAACAAAACCCTCTCATTGCTGTTGATAACAGTTTTTTTCACAGGTGTTTAAAAAAAAAAAAAAAGTCCATTTCCAGCTGTCGCATATGCACAATTCTCAAAATAGCTGAGAATTTGAAAGCTATTTTAGGATTTTTAGGTTTTAAAGAACTTTCTGACTGGAAGTGTGAGACCATACTCACAAGCACTAGGAATAATTCTTATTGTTGTTATTTAATTCCTGGCAGTAGGTACTAATCTTATTAAAAAGAAAACAACAAAAAAAAAACCCAAGAAACTATAGTAGGAAACTACTATATTTATTACCTGACCTACTCTGCAAAAGGCAGCTGCTGTAATTTTACATGCAGCTCCAGCAGCAGCTGTTTATCTGATGAGCTTTGGAAGACCAGCTCTTCCAGCCCAACAGCTCCGAGAAATACAGAAGCATGGTAAAAAGTGGCATTGATGTTTCAATAAGTGACATTCTGTCCTTTGAGTCAGCATGAACAAAATGTGTTGGAATAACGTGGAAGGCGCTGGGAGTCTCCACCTTCATATAAGGCTTAAAGCCAGTGCCCATCTTCTTCCCAATAAGAGACTCTCCAGGGCATGGATGAGAAATAAGTGTATGTGGTCATAGACTTCAAAGAGTCTATGAAAGACAGAGACATTTTGGGAAAGGAGAGAGTAATTTTGGTTCTTTGCAGTACCTGTGAGTTGAATAAATGCTATTGGATATTTCTGTATTGCATAAGCTACCTCTAAACAGAGTATTTGAGATCCCTTAAATATGAGTCCTGTCATAGCACTGGACCTTCATTCAGGAGTTCTCTGCAAGCCCATATGATGCTGCTGCTCCAACCCAGTGCAGTGTAAGGATCATATCCTTACAGCATTGTGCCAGAAAGTCCTGCTGCTGTCACCTTTGTGGTTAAGCCTCTAGCTTAACTAGTTAAGTTCTCACAGCAGAGTTAAAAATAAAATGACCTCTTTCTTTCTCTTGATGCTGTCATGATTGTCATTCCCCACCAGATGCCCTAACTTCCCACTGCGCCCCGCTGGCTCTGCTGCCCCTGTTGTCTCAGTCCAAAGAGTTTCTGAACAAGAGACATGCTTTTATGGAGCCTGGCAAAGCTTCAGAAGGGAAAAGGAAAAATCAATACCGCTTCAAAGCAAAGTCTTTGCTTCAGTGGATATGACATTTGCCCTTTCCTCACTAGTGGGAAAAACAACAAGGACACTTACACCGGCAATGGAAATAGAATGAACAACAACAGAGAGACCTTCCAGGTTTGACTTGTAAAGGGGAATAACTTTATAGTCATTGTCCCTGTTTGGTGACATCAAAAGCAGGTATAGGGTGTTAGGCAGTGCAGCCTGGGAATGAAGTGGAAAGTAACACAAAGTCGAAGAGAAGGAATTTGGAACAGGAGACAATGGACTCTGCCGAAGAAACGGGGAAGGAAAGACACGACACAAAGGTCAGGTCCATCGTGGCACAATCAAATCAGCTATGAAATGTCACCTGAAAAGGTGGGCCATAATAGTAAAAGGACCTTCCAGTAAGTTTTACACCATTTTGACAGCTTTGCAGTGACTGAAAATGGTGACAGAACCTCACATTTTGCTAATGAACAGCTTTTCGGTAGGGTTGAGCAGGTCAGAAATTTTCTAACAGAAACTGAAAATGCCAATTAAGGAAATTAATGTTTCTGCAAAATCAAAAGAACTTTGACAGACTCTCACTGCTGATTTTGGAGATTTACAAAAATTTAAACTAAATGTAAACCTTACAAGTTTGCTTCAATCATTTTACACACTCAATTTTTCATTAATTTAATTGTTTCCAACTACTTTCATTTCAAAACTATATGCTTTTTCTAAGTTTTTAATTTCATTCTGTTTTGACTATGCAACTTTTTAGCTAGTTTTTCAAGTTGTTTTGTTTTGATGTTTCTATTTCTGTGCCATTCTTCATATGTAATTTTGTGGACCTCTTTCTTTTGGAATACCATGCATTGTTTCAGTGGACTTTGTGTAATTGTTTGAAAATAGTCTTCTGTAAAGAAAGTATTTTCCTTACGTGAAGCTGTGCCTTCAGCTGCAGCTGCCACTGGCTTTGTTGTAGTTTCTGGCCTGTGCAATGGATAATTTACAGCATCTACCTTTCCCTGCTGGGAGGGATCCTGGGTCAGCTACTGTTGTTGCTGTCATGTAATAGAGCTTCATCCTGGGTGAATCAAACAGCAGGATTTCTGAGGAGCACACAGGCAGTGGAGCAGGACAGTCATGTACTCCTACTCTGACCCCTGTACTTGTGCTGGGTGAGAGTTCTGCAGCTGCAAGAATCAATAAAAATGTATTGATTTCTCCACACCGTCATAAAGCTTGTCTGCTCTAATCTCCAGTTTGCAAGCTGAAAAGGAGACTGTAAAACTGAAATTATCTTATACTTTTCCTCCTTTTTCTTCCCTCTCTCCGTGCTTGCACAGGAGACCAAGATCTGTTTCTGACAGAGCCACCTGGCCAGGAAGGGGTAGCCCCCCTTGCTGTATCAGGGCAGCCTACTCTGTTAACACTCAGGTTGTGAGAATAGCTGCTTCTGAAGCTTTTTAAGTAAGAAGTGCCGGGTGGGATTTCCCAAAAGGCAGAAGTTAAATGTTTTCGCTGGGCTTAACTCATCCCTCTACATGCAAGCAACATCAGTCAAGGAAATGCTTGTTACTGAAGAGCTCAGTGGACCTCTGGATATTCCAGATTCATACAAAGTTGCTTTTTTTGAGTAATTTCAGCTATGCTTGATGTTTTCTGTTCTAGGCAGAAGATAGGTAGCCCCCATTCATCTGAAGAACATGGCAATGTCCTCCCTTGGTAAAATACGTCTCAGTGTTAAAAATGAAGCAGGTGAAGGGTGAAGCAGTATTTTCAATAATATTTAATTTCACAGAAACTGTCACCCAAAGCCATACCTGTCAAAAGGTGAGTGGGCTGGTCTCTATTTCTGGTACTGACAGAGATGGATGCAGCTGTTTGTCAGTTGTAGAGCCAGTCTTGGTTAAATCCCAAAGTCCTGATACAACACATGTGGTGCAGTCATAGATCTATTTATTATATGTTTGTTTTTTTTCCAGTGGGATCATCTCAAACTCCCTTTTGGATGTTCCTCTTTGTGGCATGAGCACAGCTGAGTATGGTAATTGGAGAAATTGTTGCACATTGATCATTAACCTTCTGCACACATGTATTATTGGATAATATTTCAGTATTTAAAATACTAATAGTGTTGACTATACTAACACTGCTTTGTGAGGTATGAAAAGGTTGGGGAAAAGGGCTGATTTTCATACTGGTGGTAATGGCTTCCCATGAGAACCTGCCCTGTAACATTATTGGGGTTTGCAGGTGCAAGGCCATGGAAACAATAAACAAAGAAATGAGAACAACAATGGGAACACGGTGCCTCTGCAGCTGGTGTGAAAGATTCCAGAGCTGTTCGATCTTACTGCTAAGGCTGAGGCACGGGGGCACCTGAGGCACAGCACAACAGGCCAAATTCAGCTTTAGCATAAGCAGATGTGATGTAGTGCTCTGTCTCTCATCTGGGCTTCATGATCTTGCAATAAGGCACAAGAACACAGCCTTTTCCTCAAAATATATGTTTGAGCCAATCTACACTTTGGGTTTCATTCTAGAATGGTGTTTATTCAAAGAATATAATACTTCCTAAATAAACAAGCAAAAACTCACATCTCTCCCCTCCCTGCCACACGGAATTCAGGATACCATAGCCCACGGATCACAAAGTGAGTCATGCTGACGTACAGAAATACCACCCAATCAAGCTGGTAAAACAACCCAGATTTGAGAGATGGAGGTCTCTAAATTAAGAGTGCTCTACTGCTCACCCCCAGGCTGTTAAAGCTCATGACTGTCTGCTCCAGCACCACAGTTGCTATGGCAATTCATTTACCTGGTCAGTAACCAGGTAAAAAACTAGGACTTAAATTATCCTCAGAAATTAACAGGAAGCTGATATAGATGCCAAAGAATCATCCACTGTATTTTCTGTGTCCAATACCACTTCACAGGCAGGCAGCTGCATTCTGTATAAGCTGCACATTCCCAATCCCTTTGAACACTCCCACCAAGCAGAGCACGTTTGCAGGAACTCTGACTTGGGGAAAATAATAATAAAAAACTCTTGTAAAGAAACTAGGAACAGACAAAAAAAGTCTAAGCAGACCCAGACAATGCCTACTTGGATGCTAGTCTAAAAAAAGTCAGATGGTGTCTTATTAGAAGATAGATATTTTTCAGATTCTTTGGCATAATGCTAAAACAGAACCTGAGCAGCTGCAAAGGACAAATCTTTAACAGCAGAGAAACAGGCACGTGGCTACGACAGGATCTGTTGCATTTTAGAAGTGGCAGGCTGGACCTTGTTTCCATTTAATTAGTGAATATATCTTGTTCATGCTCCTAGTACTATAGCACCTTAAATCGCATTATAATATGCTTCTCAGTAGAAAAGAAATTGAAAAAAACAACAGAATTGTCAGTAGCTACTTTTATACAATTTCATAATCTCAGTTTTGCCATCTCCAGTAATTAATTCAGTGATACAAATAAGGGATTTATCAAATGGAGACCACAGATTTAGCACACTGAAACTTTCTTATGTCACTTGCAAACACTGTTACAAAGTGCAAAATATCACCCCAAATAACAGCTAAACCATGTATCTGAATGTGCATTTCTAAGGATTTTCAGTATTCTTCTTCCTCTCCTGGAGGTGCAAATGCCCCCAAATGGGTGGCAGACAGGTATTCCCTTCCCTGCCCCACCAGGCAGAGCTTCTAGACGGGCCAAACCAGAAACACTGTGACTCCTACAAGGCTGTGGCATGAGATATCTCACTTTATGGGGCACCACCAAAGTAGAAACAGTCACCCACAGCAAAGCTCTGAGCATGGAAATCTGCCAGCTGTTACTGACTGTCATAACAGGAATCACAGAATCATTCAGGTTGGACAAGACCTTTAAGATCATCAAGTCCAGCTGTTCCCCCAGCACTGCCAAGCCCACCACTAAACTATGTGTCCAAACTATAGTGCTGCATTTCCACGTCTTTTCAATACCTCCAGGGACTCACCTGGATGGTACCAAGAATTTGACAGAGCCAGAATTACATTTAATGTTGCAAGGAAGAAGGGACAGTGTCTCCTGTTAGGTACAGCTCCTCCTTGCAAAGCACAGCTCAGCCCTGTAACATTTCATTCCTTGCCCTGCCTGAACATCCTCCTTCTTGGAGAGCTGCAGACATGCCAAGTAAATCAAAGGTATAAGAATTTATGAAACCCAAAGCAGCACTGGATTTTGGAATGACAACATGATTGTATATGGGCTCTAATAAAAGGTAAAGGTTCCCTGAAGCCTCAGGCTATGAAGTGGAGTAGAGCAATGTGATTAAGAGAGAGTTAAGATGTATTAAACTTTGAAGAAAAAGGCATTCTGTTAGTGACATGTTAATAGATCCCAGGAAAGATTTGTTAATGGACTAAAAATTGAGAAACTCTTTGAAGGCAGCACTAAGTAAAAAGTAAATCACTATTTCTCTATGGATGAGGATCACTTGGAACCTGGAGAAAACAGGAGCGCTGGATATACCCAGGGCTTCCTGGCTGAGGCTTGGAGGCTGGGACACAGGGACACAGGGACACAGGGACACAGGGACACAGGGACACAGGGACACAGGTCTGGTCCCAGCACGCTCCCAGCCCTGGTGCTGTACCACAGCTCTGCACAGCCACACCTGGTTTTAGGTCTTTCTTCCCATCCCACTGAGCACATGAGTGAATAAAACTTTATGATTTGAGTCTATGAAGGTGGCTGGGGATGTGGTGATTTCCTGAAGAGCTAAATAATGACTAATTTTCAATTAAAAGACACTGTAGTGGGGCAACAGCTAAAAATAAAATGCGATCTCATTGAATTCTGAACCTTGTAAGGACACTGAGCCCAGTAAAAAACCTTCCTCTGGCTGGTATGAGAAACTAAAATTTACACTGATAGCAACCCAAAAGCAATAATAACAAGGGGGAAAAGGGGCAGTAAAATGTTTGTCTTGGTCTGATCTTTTTTCTGTGATCTCCTTTCCAAGTTGACATATTGAAAGCAACAAAAGTGACAATATTTTGGAGCACATGCACTTCTGAAAGGCAGAAAGCACCAGAACCAGTAATGCTGTCTCCTCTCAATCCTGAAAGGCTGATTAATTCTTGCTGCATTATTATAAAAGGTATATATTTTGTGACATGCTGAAAGCACTAGGGAACCTTGGCCCATCTTATATATTTGGCTCAACTTCATGTTTTAATTGGATGCTTCTGGATTTCCACAGTGATAAACAAAAAACAGCAAAGGCAGATAAATCAAGCACCTTTCGCCAAATCAGTTCATGATCTCCCCTCTGGGTGGTCAGTTTTGCATTAGCTATCAAACATTTTTAAAAACAACTGTTACCCCATGGCACTGAATTCCATGAATAAAATTTCTGTGATGACGTTCATACCTAAGAAATTAAAACCTCCTGGTCGATTTTTAGCTTCCCTATTCACAATCATAACTAGAGGCAATTTCTTTTCTTCATGGCCTTGTTCAGATGCACCACAGATTCTCAGACATCTTCACATAAACTTTAACCTGTGTTTCATAGGCAGTGGGAAAGTGGCATCAGGAACTTTGGATATGGCTTCAGAGAGGACTGGATGTTACTGGGGTAATTGCACAGCTACTGTTGTACTGTTTAACACAAGCCTTTTCTTCAAAAGAGGCAGTCTTACGTGTTTGGGGAAGTTGAGCAGTGATAATGGTGACAGGAATTAGTACAACAGGTGCCTAAACCCTGTTCTGGTTTTTTTTTTTTTTTTTCAAACTTGAGATCCAGCACCATGCTAAGGAGCATGGCTCCCAGCTGATGCTTTAGTCACCCCTCATGTGCTCAACTCCCGGGTCAGTCTCAGTGATGGGGATCCTCTCCTGGCCAAGTGTTTTCCATTGGGAAGCCCCAAACCAGGCTGAGCCCAGGTGATGCAGGCTCTTGTCAGGTAACAGCAGCCAGGAGTTTTGCATTTGGGAGCTCAGCAAGGTGCTCATGAACTGTATATAAGTGTCAAAGGGGAAATGGTTTGGTTTAGTCCCATGAGCATCAGTGACTGCAGCTGGGACATACCAGCACTCCCAGGAGTCTCTGTTGGAAAGAAACTTCCAGAAAAAGAGATGAAAGGCAGAGATGTGGAGTGAGAAGGGAAGAGGTGGGCAGATGGCAGAGGTTGCAGCTCTGGGGCCCTGATGTACAGCTGCAAAGCAGGTTTGGAGGGAAGGCCGAGAAGAGTGAGACACCCAGAATACCTTCAGTCCAGGAAGAGGATCCTTCCCCAGAGTGCAAGTAGGTGTTTGAGTATCTTAAAAGGGATGAGAGGAAGCACTTTTATGGTTCTTTTACAGATAGTCCTGAATGCAGTATCCTGAACAGATATGTCTTGAGGTGGGGGTAGACCAGGGCAATTAATAGCCAAAGAGTTGTACCTACTCACCATGCTCTTTATGCAGCAACTCAATATGACAAGTCCAAAGAAAGCATTCAATACTGGGGGGAAGAGTTTTTAATTTAAAAAAACAAAAAAGTCCTACATCTCTCTGATAGAGTCCGACACACTAGGAAAATGCCAAACTGCTGATTTCTTGCAATGTTTATGGTCCTAATTACTTTATTGATTCAAGGCCTGAATTATATATATTTTTTGTTCTAACTTTTTTTCACTGCTTGTGTTTTTACTACAGTGAGCACTAAAATTTAAGCTCTGTAAGATGGAACTGTCCTAGGGCTTTTTGCTGCTATATATCATAGAGGGTTGGGGGTTTTTTTTAGGCAATTTCCATATTAATAACTACTTAGCTTTTCCTTTTGGCTTTTGTTT